ACTAGCCACATCCTAATAATTCACCGCATAGGGTGCGCGTGAGTCACTGAATGTCGACTCGTGATTGACAGGATTAGGTCAGAACCAGTCGGATGATAAATGTAAATGTTTCTATTTCTACGAACATTGAAAAGGAAATATTTGTGAATTGTTAGGAAAACTAATTTTGAGGGTATTTTTCCTTATACATATTGCCCTTACCTATCGGTATACTTTTCGGAAGATTAAATGTTAACATGGTCCTTTTATCCAAATACTTATTAGGTTGTAGCTGTTACGTAAAGGAAAATTAGTAGTTCTACTGTTATAAAAATCTTTTTTCTACATCACTAACATCAATAAGCACAATATTGGAATTATTTAAAGTCCTCAGAAATAATAAAAGTCATAAAAGTCATGCGTGATGTATGACCAAACTTGAGCATCGCTATACGCACATGGTATCAATTTGACCCGGATTTTCAATTGGCACGTTACCTAATTTGTTTAAAAAAAAACATATGGGACTCCAAGGTTCATCGGTGCTAACCAGATCGTCATGCTAACGACACATTATGTAACTTATACAAACATTTGATCGTGCACATGTCACGTTAGCTGGTCATATGGTCGAAATAGACAACCAGTAGAGTAAATTAAAAAAAATACTTCTAATAATAATAGATTTATTATTAGAAGTATTTTTTTTTAATTTACTCTTCGATTCGACTCGATTTTTTTAAAGACTTTGTGCTTCTTGAGATGGAGTACAAATTTGTTTAAGGAAGTATAGACGAAGGAGATAACCTGTGGTCCAAGTAATTATATTGCAGCTCGAAACTCAATTTTGCAATCTGCCAAAACATATCTTACAAGTTTATCTGCACAGATCTCAATAAAGTCTTGCGAATTAATTAGTATCTAAATGTTATGCTGGAAAATACCAAGACAGGCTTGTCATTGATCGTGTTACAAATTCTCTACAAGCAACAAATATTTACAACTTAGATATAAACAAAGGAAAAAAACTACTTTTTATGAGTCATTTCTAAACACATATTTTGGTGATACGCAGCTTCTATCTGTCCGTGTTTTTCTATCAATACTTTCATATGTACAGAAGTTTTAATCTCAAAATTCTACTTTAATTAAATACCGCTGCAAAACAAAAAAATAAAGAAATGTAACAACCACATAAAGGTTTCGACAACCACGTCCTAATGTGTTATTTCCGGTTTTTTCATTGTTAACTACGTCAATGGTGTCAATTTTTGGCCCTGTACAGAAATGATCGCAATTGGGCTAATGCGTCTACCTAAAAAGGGAGGAATATTCCGATTTTAAAATGCTAAAAAAGATGAATCAAAGCAATTTAATGCACTTTTTTTTAAGTGGACAAAAGGACCAATTTTCTTCGCTCTAAAGACCAAATTCGATTTTGAAAGACGAGTTTGAAGTTTCAAGTGAATTTCAATATAGTGGAGAGGCAAATCGGAATGGTTCTAATTTACTATTCCAACAAGAAGTCACGCTGGCCTCACCGTTACTCATATGACCTTAGTAATGTGACAATGTGACGTTAAAACTTTTGTTCTTGTCGCAGAGGCCACTAAACGAGTATTACTTGAAATGCTATGGAGCGACATAGCATTGTGAAAGCTAACGTCTTGTATTTACATTTGTGAGCGAAATGATTGTTGAAATCTTCATGCAGTGTCGATATATTCTACATAGCGACTTGTCAAGGTTTGAAGGAAATATTGACGTTTTTTCGTACGAGCTCTTTATATTCTAACGTAGATTTTTTAATAGACCGTTACAGAAACTATATTAACTAGCAACTCTCCCGCTGCTCAGCTCCTAAAGACCATAGCTTGATGGTTTATAGCCCATAGCCGCGAAAAACGGACAAACAAACACAAAAACAATTATTTATATTCGAACCAGTAGTTCTGGAGATTAGCGACTTCAAACAAACAAACTCTTTAGCTTTATAATATTAAGTATAGATAAAGGAACATTAGTCGACACTAAGCAAAGCCGCTATAAAGGGGCAAAATCATCAATTGACTTGGATTGGGCGAGAGAGAGTGTCAGACTCTTTTTGTCTAAAAACCACCCTCTTTCTTTTGTTCCGGACCGGGGCAACGGTACATATTTGAGCATCCCCGGCTGACTAAGCTGAGCAATAAATAAACTTTGAGAGCTATAGATTATAGATCACGTTAATTGTGATTCACAACATAATTGACCTACATAATAACTAAATAAAACGTCTTCTTGAATTCAAACTTCTCTAACGACATTTTCAGGGTTTCCTCGAGGAAAACAGACGATAGAATGATATAAAATATACATACGCAGGCATGAATGGTTGCTATAAACAGCAGTTGTAATTACTTTGAAACATTTTGTTCAGAACATCGTGGGAAGAACAAAGTTTCTCTAAACAATCATTAAACTTTATACCATGTGTTCCTGAATTCCGCTTAGCATCGTAAAACATTAGCAATGGTAACAATTATTCATAATTTCAATGTTAAATCAACATCATTTTCAGTTTACTATCAAAATATTATTGTTATCACTGGGCAGTTTTAGGGATGGCTCAATCTTAGATGGACTTTCACCGTTAGGTTCAAAGTTAAATAATACAAATAAATTAGCATCATAATTTTATTAGATTTCGCATTTTAAGAAAGTGAATGACGCGAAATATTGGTACAGAAGAACCCCAAAATGGGATTTGCAAGACTTTTGGTGAGTGGAAGAGTTTTGGTGTCATAAATTCTCAGCGTAGAAGAGTGCAAAAATTTATAGAGAATCTCTGAACCTTTCCTAACTGATCCAAATAACAGTGAAGTATGTTTACACAGTACTTGCATAATCCGGTCTGCGAAAATGCAAAGCAACACTCGCTATCAACACAGACTAAATATAATTCTGCTACGTAAACTGCCTCAACGTTACGCATATAGCCATGTGACTGGCAACCCCAACAGAAACATCTCTTGATGGTTATTATTTGCTAGCTAGTCTTGCGCGGCTTCACCTGCTTTGCTCCCACAGATCGTAGCGTCATGTTTTATAGCCTTCCTATATTAATATATTAATTTGATCAATAAGAATCTATAATTCCGGAGATTAGCGTGTTGTACCAAACAAACTGTCCAGCTTAATAATATTAGTGTACCTAGATGATTAAAAAGCTGTCGATTTATAAAAAATAATTAATGCAACAAGCATCGAATTTCTACCGAAAAAGACACTTTTTATTAGAGATAAGACACATAGAGAGGACAGTGTTCGATAGAAATAAGAAAATATTCTGTAAAAATATTTTTGATACTGCAATACGAGGAAGAAAAAAATTTTTCCACTTTCCTCGGATTTAGGTGGACAAAGGCGACTAAACACCGAAAGTTAAAAAAGATCCCTTAAAAATTGAGACCAACGTGGGACGATGAATACAATACCTAATAACGAGCTTATGCAACAAGACCCTGCGATAATAGCGTAGGATTATCATTTCTACCGACTGGAAGCAAACCTACGCCTGTTTTAGTTAATGAGGATAAGTTTGCAGAATCTCATGTTACTGGGGTTCATTACACATAACGTTTTTATTTTTAGCCTTTGATTCCCCTTCTAGAACCTCTTTTAAAGTTATCACTATGGTTGTAATGAAGGCACACAATATTCTACACTTTGTAAAACTACTAAGACTTTTCGGTAACCGACCGAATGGACATTTTGCCTTGTTCGTCATTTTGCTTTTCCATAATGCGATTTTTTTACGGGATCAGTCGGCAAACGGCAGGCTGGATTACCTGATGGTAAGCAATCGGCGCCGCCAATGAACACTCGCAATGCCAAAAGAGTAAAGAGTGCGTTGCACCCGCACTTTTGAGGTAAAGTTTTCGTACATTTAAGGATTGGGAAGGGATGGGGTAGGGGGAGGGATTAAGCCACCGGTAAACTCACTCACACGGCGAAATCAAACGCTGTGGTTGTTTGACGCCGACGTTGTTTGACGACGGTATTCTGTAATGCCTTGGTATAACTCCAGTTGAACCGACCCATTCGTGCCGAAGCCATGCTATCACATATTTAGGCGATTGAAGCGATACCGCATTTAGCCTTCTGATTGATTGCCTAACTTGGTGCAAACCAATCAGAGCTCCGAACCTCATAGTCGTGTCGATTACTATAACGTAAAGCATACTCGCACTAGGCACTCAGTCCATAGCATCCTCCAAAAAGTCAACATAACTGACTGATTGCTTTAGTAAATGGATTAATTCTTGACGAAGGACTAAGTGTTAGAAAATAATTCGTAAATATTTGGTTACCGCAAGCGAATCTTAAAACGGAACAAAAGATAACACAGGTACAGTTGTCAGCAAAAATGGCCGGCATACCTTAATGTCTATTTTTCTTTGCGCGAGATGATATGTCGTTATTATTTTCTGTGCCTTACCTCACCAACTAGGATACGGACACTCTTTTACTTTATAACTTACTAGGATTAGAATTCACTCTTCCACGAATCTATTACAGGAACAATTAGTTTGTCAAAACAATTTTAGAGAGCCTAACATACTATACTCAAGACATTTAGAACATCCCTAGTTGTTATTTGTGAATTTAACATTATTATATTTTAAGTTAGTGTTCATTCACAATCTTATAGCACACCATGCTTATTAGTTTCTGTTAGAGCATTGTAACACTTTATTTGGCACCAATTCAGACTATTAGGGATTCCTGTCACCACTAACAATTGATGAATAACATCATCACGAAAAACTATGCCAGGAATACAAAAAGATATTTAACTTCTTAACATTGAAGCTGTAAATGAGGTCATCAACCTTTCTATGATTTACAGATTATTTTAATCTAATTTCGTCCCAGCTGCATTGGCTTGCTAAATTCATTAATCTTAAATCTTGGAACCTATACTCTGAAGTGGGGGCCAAACAAATATGGAGCACACTGGAATATTCTAGAAAACTAACTGTCTTGCAGAGTCCAAGAGTTCTGTGATATATGGACACCAAGATTCCAGACAGGGACACCAAAGTGCTCCTTTAGACAGGAGCTATTGCTGTTCTTCATAGTTTCTATTAATGCCTTTGATGTTTTCCCAACATTCTCATTCCGTTTAAGGAATGCAGCTAAGTCCACTCCGCATGTCTCATTGACTGCTTTCCGACATTCAGCTGCAGCGTGAGGGCTGAGCTTCCCATGAGCTTGAACAGCTGAACTGCAGACTTCGTTGATAAGCTCCAGAACTGCCATATCGGTTTCGAACAGTACCTCGCAGCATCCTGTTGGTTTCATTAGTAGGAATATGATGTTCATAGTAACACAATATAGACAATTTAGTTTACAGATACACAGATAATATTTTGTCCTGTTTATAATTTAATATAAAATTGATTATTATGATAGATATGGTAGAACTTTATTTTGACGGAATAAATATGAATTATGTACACAGCTAGTAAAAATATACTTAAACAAAAACCAGTTTTAAAAATAGTCCTGTCTTACTTTCCTATTAAGTAACTTCATATGCAAACAAAAATCTAAAATATTATATTTTTAAATAGAATAATAATAGATAGTTTAGTAACTTTAATCGTCAACAACAGATGGACACCTGACTTCTATGTACCTACTACCTATTGTTATAAGTGATGTAAGCAAGTATATTCTAACTTCTTTTACTACAATTATGGAATTTCAAAACATTATGTTTATATATATTAAAATATAGAGTGATGAGAAGAATGTCTTTCATTTGTGAATGGTTTCTATTACGGTATGTATATATTCATTTTATATTTAAAATATATAGTATTCATGATTCATGGTATCACATCTAGCTATAAAATATGGGGTAATAATTGTGTTAATGTCTTCCTACTACTTTTACATTGCAAATACAGTACTTACATATTATTTTTTAAACACAAAAAAAAAACAAATATACATTTCTTTTATTTTTGATCATTTTGTTTGCCTAATACCTGACTTTCAAGGTTGAATGGAAATATAGAAAATGTTTGTTTTGTTAATTATTTCCTTGTTTCCATACATTTTTAATAGGAAGAGCACAACATGTAGCTTTTCTTGAATGAATATCTTTCACCATTTTAAATCTTCTAGATTTAACTCATGACAAGGCAGAGAAGAAGCAATTTAGGAGATATTTATAATCATTGTGTGCTTAATTATTATGCTAAACTTGTAGATAAATTATGTACTATTTAGGAGAATAAGTACCCATGTGATAAACTATTCTATATATCTAAGTTATAGAACATTACTTATATCCCACAATGATTGAGTATACAGTATTTTTTATGTAATATTCTTGTGTAAATGCCACATTCCAATCAGATCTGTCGTAAATATTACATGCGCAGAGTCAACAGCTGGACAGCGACGTATTTGCACACCAAGAACGAAGGTTCTTGTGAACTGCAAATATACGCATTACAACGCACGATTTCACCCGCTATAATTTGTATTAAACATTTATGTAATCCGAAGTATGACATCGGCTGTATCGAAACGTGTTACAATGATAATTTTACAGCCGTAACCGGCGTATAATTAGATTATAATCATCACAGAGCGAGCTAAAACGCTCGCTTTCGTCACAGCGTCCAGCGATATTGACATTGAGCTTGTGTTAAAAATACCGACATTACCTGCCTCCCGGTCGAACTTGTTCGGCTTGAGCTGCTCTCCACTGGGGCCTGTGATCAGCGGCGACAGGATCCTAGGCCACAACACAGCAAAACACCCAACAACAATCACAAGTACAAACATCGTCTTCCGCGGACCCAACACCTCCTCGTTCGCCATTCTGTCGTCGTGTTTTCGTATCGTTTCGTCACGCACGTACACAGCCGGTCGCACTCTACGGGAACATCGTCGTGTGTGATATAAATAAAGATTTTCGGCCCACACGTCCCGCCCGTGAAGAAAGCGCACAATGACAGCTGTCAGACGCGCCCTCTCCCGGCGAAAACGTTACGGGAGCGATCCGAATTTTCTTCGTTACGGCAGCGTCCGCAATAGTTCTTCTTCCGTCCAGAAATCTTCATTTGTAGAAAGCCGGTGGATTGAGCTGGCTCGAAGTGACACAGCCGTATACCAACATCAAACAGCTATGCCGACTTCTTGCCTTCCCAGCCACCGGCTTGGCTTCCTCTGGCGTTCAAGTCGAGTGTACGGCATTGCAGTTCAAATATTGACAGAGTGAATTAACGCTTGCCAGGCGAGCGCGGCGCTCGGTGGGCAGAACTCGGAACAATATGCCTGGGCGCGGAGGCGGCGCCGGCTAATAACCCGTCCCCACCGCGATGAGGACTACACGCGCCCAGATGAATACTAATTAGACAATATGTGTAGGTACTTACCGTTTAGACGGGCAGGCCTGATGAAAAATTTTAATGTTGGAAGGGCTGTAATGTTCCTGGTGTTTGCCACGTGTGGTTTTTGTTTTTTTAAATATTTTCTGACCGTATGCGTCACCACAGCAACAGTCGATGTCGTATACCAGTCATAATGAAGGTAACGTAAGTAGATATCTACTTGCGTTTTAACAATATTGCAGAAAACGTAAATCTTTACATGCAGTTTGTTGAATTTACATTTACAAATCAACATGAATGGATACCGGATGAATCTATTTGATTAGTAGTTGGTGTTGTTAGGCACCTTCTATGAAACCTTCAGTTAGATAAGTAGCCAGTAAGGTCTCGTACTTTTTTCACTAGGTAGGTTTAAGAAAACGTATTAAATATTTTTGTGTTGAAATTTCTTGCAAGCTTATTGTAAGAAGTTTTGCATCACAAATAATCACAATCTGCTACATGTACCCGAGCAGAGCAGTAGAGCAGACTGAAACTGAACCTAATAAATTAATAGGTACCTTAATTTGCGTACCTAGTTCTTTAACAAAAACGTATACCCCAAAAATATAATAACCTTTAGAACAACAATGCTATGAGTCACACCCCGCACCGTGTAAGGAGCTAATCTTAGGAAATCTCTGTTCAAAGTAAACATAACTTTATCTACTAGCATGCAGGTGAATACATTTGCAAACAGACGCTTTTTTATTTATTAACTTTAGATTTGTTATCGTGTTGTACACCCTGTAGTGTTTTTTGTAAATATTTAATGTAGGTATATCTATGGGACCACTGATTCCAGCAGCTGTCTTACTTGATACATACCTAATTATTATGGCAGACATGCAAAAAAAGTAATTTATTAAGAACTATTGAAATGCGTTGGCGCCAATGAAAATCTCAAAAAACCGGTGGGTATTATCTATCTCTTTTTGTTTTTTCCCGAGATATTTGCTTCGAGACGGCCTAACTTTCAATACTTACGAGTTGCGGGTCATTTGATACTTAAATCAAAGAGCATTTATTCGAAACACAGCGCGATCTAAATCACTGGCTAGTAAGATTAACGAGATAATAAATGTCTAAACCTCTTTTGATGTAACAATGTTCAAAGATATTTTCTTCCTAATTCTTTATTCTTACTATTATAGTGATATTAAAAAAAAAAGTCTTATGTTGGTTGCTTTACGTGTATCTAGTTAGGAAAAAAGTTTTTTTTCTTCTTTTTGGCAACTGTCTCCAATACGATGTTGTCGACGTACCTACATTTGTTATTGACAATCTACTTACTTATTCTTAATTATTCGGTCGGTACCCTACCATCTATGGACCTGGGTCCGTATTGTCAGACAAAGTTTTACATTGCCCTAAGTCAAGTGATGTCAAATCATCCAATGTCCCTCAAGATAAATTTCTTAAACATCTTCTAAGAAATCTACCTGCTGTGTTATCCGAAATATGTGTAAAAGAGGCGACATAGTTTTATCACCTTTCACACGGAAGGAAGAACAACAAAACTTAAATGTGAATCACGCGCAGGATACGCGTTAAGAAATATAAACTATCAAACGGAAACCAGCCAGGATATCCTTTTTTATTTATGGTATGCTGTCTCCTTAGCATCCAGACGCACTTATAACGCCTTACCTGGGCGGTGTTCGGTGGGTACCAGCGGCCATTTTGAAAAACATGCGCGTGCGTCGTTTCCTGCGACGAAATGGTACGCTACCTACCCATTGTTATATGGGAGGGGATGCGTGTGACATGAATACATATTGAAATAATGGTTTAACTGTCGAATAGAAAAAATGTGTAGGTCCTACAGCGGTAGGAAGGTTTCTTGTTCAATAGATATTTGGTAAACTAAACACAGATACCGGGTGGAAGTTTTATCGAATGTTTTTGACTAGGACACTCTGTTTTGTCCAATCGAGTTTGGGAGCTGATGTTGAATAATAAGTTTTGTTCTATTTTTGATGTTATTGAGGTTTTAGCTGCCTACCTTCGAGTTATTACTAGTGGGTATCTATTTAGTAGTGACAGCACATACAAAACTTAATGTTATCTATGAAAAAAAAATTAAGGACCCTGTAGACAGTCTATAATAATTACCCTCCAGTTTTCCTAATATTCAGGGGTAATTAGTGTAAGCGCAATACCTGGCTTCGGCTTGTTGGTTGGTTTTTATTCAGCAAGAGCCTGATAGTCCCTTTCACCCCTCCCTGAGCTAGAGAAGTTATAAACCTCCTAACTCCAAAATACCTACCCAGTATAATATATCTATATACCCAGGAAATAAAAGCTACAATATTGACCCCTTTCTAAGCAACGTAAATGGTACTTATTGAAAGTCTCCATTTCTACGAAGTGGTTGGTGGTAGGTATGATATTTAAGTTAAGTAACATTCGTTTCTACTTAAATGTCTATTGGGAAGAAAACCTTATTACTTACCTACAGTCAAAATCTACCTACTGCCACTATTCAATCCAAGAAAGCGGCGGCGTTTAGAAACTAGATAGGTACAATTAAAACAAATGCTTTTACAATCAAACAGCGTTGGTATCTGCTTATCTGTCTACTTACATGCAACGCTCTGTCTAGCATGAATGGGTAACATACTGGTGCTCATTACAATCGTTTAGAGAGCCTAATTATACGATCGGTGAGTCATGATTGGTTACGTCACTGGCCCATTCATCTTCCGCCTACAGAGTTTATGGTAGCTTTCATTCATGGTCACACTGTCTTACTATGTACCAGGGGGCCCAAGCATACTGACATGGCCCAAGTGTATTAATTAGAGAACAGATTATATGCAACATAAAAAGCTTGTTAAAACATGCAAAATGATTTAAATATGCACAAAAATTACCAGAATATACGAAAGGAAATGATATATTTAAGTGTGGAAGATCCATACTTCGGCACGAATGGGTAAGCTCGACCGGAGTGATACCACGGCCTCACAGAAAACTGCCGTGAAACAACCACAGCGTTGTGTTTCGCTGTGTGAGTAAGGTTACTGGAGGCCCATTTCTTCCCCTCCCCCAATCCCTCCTCAATCCCTAAATCTCCAAATCCCTAATCCCTAAAAGGTCGGCGACGGACTCGTAACTCCTCCGGTGCATGTCCATGGGCGACGCCAAAGAGTAGAGTAATATAGTGGATAGGCGGCGCTGATTGCTTACCATCAAGTAATCCGCCTGCTCGTTTACCGATCGATTACATAAAAAATAAACATTTTAGGAATCCCCCAAAAAAGAGGCCACATACAATTGCGAAATTATTTTTTAGAAGGCGATAATAGGTAGGTAGGTACTCTATTGTTATCTAAATCCAAAATAATATCATAAATGCGAAAGTTACCTACTCTGTCTGTCTGGCTGTCTTTTCTTCACGCCTAAACTACTGAACCTATTTGTGTGAAATTTGGTCAGACATAGTTTGGCGCTCGAGAAAGGGATAGTTTTTTAACCAAAAATCTGCAGGAAGTCACTATTCCACGCGAAAAAAAGATGCGGGCAAAAGCTAGTCGTCTATAATATGACTTTTTATGTAAAACTAAACAATCAAATTTTTTTTTTAAATTTCAGTGGTAAATTTGTGTTGTCTACGACCATTTACAATATTTTTAAATGGAAAACGTTAGTTCTACATCTCCTAAGGTACCTAACTCAGTAGAATTTGAACTTGGATATCTACTAAGTCCGCACTTATTTAAGAGTGAATAATATTGAAAATGTATCATATGCATATGCATATTCATATGGTCGGCTCGAGGGAGTAATACCACGGCCTCACAGAAATCCGAAATTCCCCTCAACCAATCCCTCCCCAAGCCCTAAATCTCCAAATCCCTAAATCTCCAAATCCCTAATCACCAAAAGGTCTGCAACGTACTCGTAACTACTCTGTTGTTGCGGGTGTCCATGGGCGGCGCTGATTGCTTACCATCAGGTAATAGGTAGTGTGATCGTTTGCCGTCCTATCACATAAAAAAACATAACTATTACCGCTAAACATGGCTCAAATATGTAAAAGTCTATGCGAATATGCACCTGCATATAATCCGTTATTGTTATAATAGTGTAACTAGTGTAAGTCTAACTTAAGTGGGTCTAGTTTAACTTACGTTCAAAATGTGGGAGAGCATGCTTCTGTACGAATGTGTCGGCTCGACCGGAGTGATAGGTACCACGACCTCACGGAGAACAAACATGAAACAACCATAGCATTGTGTTTCGCCTTGTTAGTGAGGTTACTGGAGGCTCAATCCTTTCTATGCCCTAATCCCCAAAAGGTCAGCACCACTCTCGCAACTGCTCCGTTGTTGTAAGCATACAGTGTCGCCTATGAACACCCTTCAAAGGCGGCGCTGACGGCTTACCATCAGGTACCTAATCCGTATTATAATTAATCACCTTGCACTATCACTCCATGAAATAAGAAATTGGATAGTTAGGTAAGTATTTATAATTCGATAAGACCCAAATAATCTTTTTCGTCTCTTCAACGCAATTTAATTTAGAAAGGTATCACATTTTCTTTCATTATTTTTAGAAATATGTATATAAATA